TTTTTTAAATATTTATCCACACATTGAAGGGAGTGGGTTAAACATCACAATGAACTTGTAATAATGTGATTCAAATTCACTTACAAGTAAAAAAGAATATTTTTAGACCGTAATATAAACGGTTAATACTCAATTTAAAAGGGTAAATGCACTTGCGAATCATTTGGAAAGTTAATCGATCGATTACATGCACAAGCCCCCAAAGATATGCGGACAAAGCGTCAATCCTGATGTTTAGGAGGGGCTTTATGAGTTGGGCAATTATGCCTCCACCCTCACTGGTGATGGTCCTCTCTCGTGACGGTCTACCCTGTCCTCCATTGTGTAATTTTTGAGGGGCTTGTCCCCTATTTTTTGTTTCCTATAAGGTATTATGGTGATGTTTAATTGCCTCTTCTTTCTAATTCTTTGATGCTCCTTGTGTGATTATTAGGCAACACTTTTCTTCCCCGTTGCGGGACTGGGAGTCGAAGTGTGACTCCTGTTTGTATTTCACTTAGCTGATTTCAATATATTACTATCTTTCCCAACAAAAAAAAAAAAAAAAAACCATTTATCACCTATTACAAAATCTCTGTCCTACCTCCTCATCTCTACTAATTAATAAAATTCTGTTTGTCAACCAAAAAATGGTGAAAAGATAAATTAGTCTTCCATCACACAAAAAAATGATGAGCAATAATGTAATTTCACAGGTCCAAATTTTGTATTTTTTTATTAAAGCCTCACCTACATGTAATGTTAAAATACCTCGAATATTTATAAAAAAATTAAAATAAAAACAAAAACTTTACACTCCCCCATGTTCTCTGTCTCTCCCTCTCTCCTTCTCATTTTCTAAAAAAATGTGTAGACAAATGCTAGTTTTATTGAAAACAACGTGGGCCATCCGGCCATATACACTTCTTAAAAGGAAAAGTTTGTTTACCAAAAAAAGGAAAAGGTTTGTTGGATGCATAGACTCCTAATTGGGAAATTTATCTTCCTCTAATTAAAAAATGTTTGCACTTTGCAACAAACTATTAATTAAGACTCGAAGTGATTAATTGATTATAAATTCAATGATTTTAGGAATACGACTTATTTGTAATAATATATGGGACGAATCCTTAACATTATTTTTTTATATAACTTTTTACACATATTTTTGTGAGATTCATTTTATAATGTATTTTAACGAATTGAGTTGTCTATCTTTTAGGTCTTCCCTAAAAAAATCATGTCTACCAAAAGTCATCCAAATCTAAAACCATATGACCGTTATTTTAAAGGTTTAGGATTCTTTCTTGTAGAATCGTATTCATCTATTTTCTTCACTACAAATGAATGTTTTAATGATTTTCGATTTGTCTAATTTTTTGCAAGGATACTAGATGAATATGTTCTAAAAGATAGATGGTTCGAATCGTCAAAATACATTACATTACAAAGTGAGCCCAAAAAACGTGTGTTAAAAGTTGTGTAAAAAAATGGTGTCACAAATCTAGTACCATATATAAGATTAATATCATATAATTAATGTGTTACCATCGATAGTGGTATGTACATATATAACACGTTGATTAATATTTTAACTCGTTGATGTTTAGTTGTATATAACAGTCAACATTAATCGAACTTAACATAAAAATGTGGTTTCCGTAACACTACTCTTATAAATCAAGCCTCCAGCTAACCAAAACAACTAAACATTATATTTGAGTTGATCATAAGCTAAAAGTAGTATTTTGCTAAGCAAAAGATGACAAGTTGGGTATTAGGAAACACAGGTGCTTTATATTATTGGGGGGAATAATTCAGGTACCTAATAGCACTATGTATCTGTGCGAACAAACTTACTAATGTTATGTTTTATTACCCACAACTTGCATTATGATATGTTGATTCGTACATGACTTAGTTCAAAGTTCATGTGAATTCGAACACAAGATTTGGATCGTCCCATTTCTTATTTGGACCTTATTGCAGTGACCCTAATGATGGTCTTTCTTAATAAATAATTGACAATATTCTTTGTAATAATGATGGACGCACAACAACACAGATTAATATATATAAATTATCCTAATATATACATAAACCTTCATGTATCTCAAGGGATGATACTTGAGTTTCGGAGGAATGCACATATCCTATTTTTTTAATAATGTATATTTATCATATAAATTTTATAATCGGAATCGGTCAAATTTTTAATCTTCATTTGAAGATTATTTTTACAAAAAATCATTCGAATTGGAGATCGTTTAGATAGTCATCCAAACGTAGGAAACAAATCGACGATGTGAGTATCAACTAACATATCCATAATGACCCTTAATTTATTTGATACATTTGGATGACTACACGATGTTCAATTCGAATGATATTTTCATGGGGATTTCAAATAAAAATTAAGAAACTAAACTGTTCCAATTATAGAGTTTATACGATAGATATACACTATTTGCAAAAGGTAGAATACATCCATTCTTCCGAAGAATGCAAGTATTATTCTATATTATATTGCTGGTAAATTGGGACGATTAATGGCATAGTTGCATTAGTTTAATTAAGTTTGGCTTTGTCAAAATTCGAACTTCTACGAGCCTTTAGGACTTTAATATGTTTATTCAACTTGGCTACCCTTTGAATTTTGAACCCTAGTATGAATTTAGGTTAGTTGATCCACAATTATAGTCTCGAGCAAGATTACTTATCAAGCTTTTCGATCGTATACATTCCGTGAAAGATGATGCACATGCAATGCAATTTCATAATCCAGGCTTGTACTATCCCACATGGCTTAATTGAAATTAAACAAGAGCTAATCAAGAGCATCTTTTATGTAAAAATGTAATATAATAATGCTCAAGTACTAACTAGTTAATAAGGTAATACAATGTTAATAAATAGTTAGGTCCATTCTTAAACCCTATATCATGACCCGAATAGTTTATTTTTTAGGTCCTTGTGTTGAATCATTGTAGTAAAAGATTCACTCAAATCGAAAATTATTTAGTTACCTAATTCTCATAGAAATAGATATATGAACAAGTGATTAGCATTGTTGCCCTATTTACAAGTGAATTGTATAAAGTATGATCTGATATCGTTAATCATAGATTATATATGCAAATAATTAGATAAATTGAAAATCATTAACGACAAATTGTAGTCAACCAAATAGATGAATACGATACTCCAAGGAACATTAAGATGACCACCATTAAATCTAACAATCATATGTATGGTTTTCGATTTGGGTACCTAAAAGATACATAATTGGGATCGTTGAAATACCATACTTAGTATGCCATGAGGGTCCTACTAGGTCTCGGCACCCTATGGAAGTCGGAAAATATGTGGGGAAGGTTTGTAGGATGACCCTATGGCCATTTGGTATTGGACTTGAATGCCTCCAAACTATTCGACGAAATGTCTCTTCAGCATAATTTGACAAATCTTGGCAAGTGATGCATGCTCGGTAGGCCTTGGAAGCACACATTGGTAGGCGATGCTCAACATGTCTCGGCATCGGGCTTGGGAAGCCATCGACATATCTAGGAACAATGATGACATATGCCTATTAAGTGCTCGATTAAATGCCTTTGTGCAAAAAATTGGATAACTTTTACATGCTATGTTTGGATTTTTTACACTATGACCCCATAAGGCTAGAGTCTTAGATCTGTTACGGCTTATAAGCGTGTCCCTTAAATAAGCTTAGTTGAGTGTACGTGTGTGTGTGTGTGTGTAAAATAAGAATACCAATTAGGTATTACCATAATGAGGAATGCTACAAACCTTCTCACTTATACTTTCTCGTTCTACCTTCTTAGCTCTCATTCTTATTCTGGAATGTTGCTTGATGATAAGGGAACCCCATGCATTTGCTCTGAGAAATTCTACATTGTAGATCACCCTTTTAAGATAATGTATGAAAATATTCACTAAATCTGAAATTATTTAGTCATCTAATGATTATCTAATAAATAGATGAACCATGAGAAACTTAAACATTGAAATTTCTAATTTGATTGATTTTTGCAAAGTTAATCTTTAAACGGTGATCTAAAAAGTAAATGGTTCGAACTCAACAACATTGAAGAATGAGAAAGAGAGCCAACAAAATAAAACGAGAAGATTTAAGCGAAAGGTTTGCTAGCATTCCCCTTATCCAATTATACCTTCTACACATGGTATGCACGCATTCTTTACCTAATTTTTTTTTTAAAGCTAGGTATACACATTACACACGCAAAACACATGGTTGTTTTTCCACCCAGAGACGGAAATTTATTCTTCTGATTAACTTCACAGTTAAATGATGACAAAAAATAAATAATTATCTAAATGACCTTATTTGGAAGAAAGAGACTTGCACCAGCGTCCTGCCTATCTTGTCCAAATCCAATGTGATTTATTCATTGGATTTATTTGGTTTCATTCAAAATAAGTGTAATGTGTTTCATTAGAAAATGACCATAAAATCGTCATTGTGGACATTCACTTCCCTGTGTTATTTTGTTATCTTTTTATCTTGACCCAACTTGCTTCATTTCTTTGGTTGTTAAATAATCATATAAAGCTATTTCGTTATCTGCCTATATATACTTCTTATTCGTTGTAATGCAAGCAGGACGAATACACTTCATAACGAAGTTTATAAAATATCAACTTGTCCTTGCAATATTCGTTTTCTGTCATCTCACAATTTAATATTAATTTTCGTATCAATATTATAAAACATTATAAAGAAAAAGGATTGTGATTTTCACACATCCTTAATTACCTTTCCCACACCCCTTCTTATTTTTTAATACTTAATTGATATCTTACTATTTACTCTTCCATATATACCCTTTTTACTTTTTGACCATTGGAATTTTAGAATACTTTTGTTATTTATTTTAAACTTGTTTTTTTTTTCTAACACTCAACCGTATATGCCCATTTGTAACTCAAGCTCTACTGCCTAATCTGAGAGATCCCAAAACAAGTATAAAACACCTATTATATAAATAAAAATAAAACGATTACCTAATGATATAGCATATATGCATAAGTTACATGAATTGTACAAAATACTAGTAAGCAATCCACATACACTTTAATCCCCATAATAGTAACCTCATGCCCCAAAAAATACATCAGATATCATTACAAGCTTTAACATTCTGCCTACACTATGTTTGGCCTTTAATCTTGTGTTCAAAAGGAGATGTCAATATTACCAAAAAGATAGGAAACCCATGCACTCCAACCTACAAGAAAATAAAAACATGTCAACAAAAGGAAAGAAAATTACAAACTTAATTAGTATTTTTATGGGGAAAAATCAACAAAAATATATGTACCTTAATGTGTTCTTTACACATCTAAGCTATTATTAACAAAAAGTTTCTTTGGCAAATCATTATGCTCGTCACACCTATAAACAATGAACATTAAGTTATACGTATATATAAATAATCATGACCATAGTAGACAATATTAAAAGATAAATAAAAAAAATGACATACCCGTCGAGCACGTTTCTGAGCCTTCTCCACTATTTCAAACTTTGAAGGACCACGCTTTGTAGAGCTTGATTCTTTTCTATTTTTAGAACCCATTGGACGACCTTTGTGAGGTTTAACATTAGGCTCAAGAGTTAATGGAAGAGAAGTATCAATAAATTCACAAAGTTGCCTTTTGGTATCCTCTTTTTGAGTAAGAGGCAACTTTTCATACTTATCTTTAAACTCCAATAGAAGGCCGCTTATTTGATCTTGTTCATTGTCCAAGCTTACATGACGATCATTGACAAACAATCTTCTATCAATCCTCCATTGTGGATGTATGTCATTTAGTTGCAAGACTTCAATATTCATCTCTCTAATCATGTGAGCACAAGGAAGACCCATTGTCTTGAGAAAATGACCCTTACATTGAGATGGAAGATCAGAAGAACTTGAGGCTTCATATTGATTATATAATTCATTCAATGCAAATCTAGATACATGAGTAACAACCTCTTTGAAGAAGGGAAGTCGAAACTTGTGTGAAACTCTAACTTTTTCACTTGAAAGTTGAGTTTTGATTTCTTGAAATTGATTTCAATAGCAAGGCATATTTTTTCTTTTACCTCGCGAAGACCTCCAGTTGAAACTTGAAGATATTTTTTTAGCGTTGCATGTGCACCTTCGGCTCTTGAAGCAACACGGTTACCAAAGTGGGTAACTTTCTCTGACCATGCACTTACAAACTTTTCTTTATATGAAAGCCAAGTACCAAGAATATATTTCAAAACAAATATCTTATCCTCGTACTTAACTTCAAAATGACTCCAAGCTTCATTGAATGATGTTTCATTAGGAGATTGGATTAAAATTGTCCAAGTAGTAATGAAATCAATCCAATCAACTTCTTCCTCAAAATGAGCTTTATAAATTTGCAAGTATATTTTTCTCAATATGCCACACGCACAAAAGATTGGAAGTACTCAGAAAGACAATGCGTATAGCATTCATTAATGCCAACTCCCTATCCGTTATAATCACCATAGGATGATTATCAACTCCCAAAATCTTACTAAACATTTTTAGAGCCCACACATAATCCTCTTCTTTCTCATTTTGCATGAAAACAAAACAAGAATAAAAGGATGTGTTGAAACTTGAAACTCCTATGATATCCAATAATGGCATCTTATACTTGTTGGTCCTATATGTGCAATCCATCACAAAAACATATGGGTAGCTCTTGGTCAACTCTATAGACAAGGGATGAGCAAAGATCAAATGAGTCAAGTGGCCTTCATGATCATACTCAATGTTATAAGTGAAACCACCTTCACCAAGTTCTTCTAATAATGCTTGAATAACTGGACGCCCAGCCAGACTTTCCTTCACAATCTTAGCTCTTAGATTATAGATGTTTCGAGAAACTACTTGAAGATGAGGATTGCCTTGCCGAAGCGAAGATAGAATTTGGCGTGGTGGTATACCAGCCTTGCTCATTTCTTTAATTCGTAAAATTTCCTCTTGTGAAAATTGACGACAAGAAGGATGTCCACACATGTCATTTGAAAGTTCATGGTTATGCAATAAACTTTTTATCTCTAGCTTCCAAAATTCTTCACATTTCTTTTTACGCCCCCTGACTTCAAATGGACAATTTATGAGGCAAGATCCTGATTTTTTTTTTCTTTCATCTAGTGAAGTTTTAGAGGCTTGATAATCCCCACCTCTATCACAACCAATAGCAACATATGTATTTGTCTTAGATCTTCTAATAACGGTTGCAAACCCTTGCATTAATGCTATCTTACGAACTTCCCCGATGAGGTCTTCTCGACTTTCAAAACATTTCGCCAACAAAGAGAGCATTTTATCGGGCTCATCAATCGTTTGTTGACTTCCTATATATCACAAACCAACACATTTATATATGTAGAATATATACTTTTTATCAATGGGCTAGACATTTAAGTATCAAATTTATACCAAAGCATTGTATGCATTATATCAAGTTTACACCAAAACATGGAGCCTAGGTAAAACCACAACAATTAAACCTAATTCCAATTTTTTCCCCAAAACCAACACAAATCAATATTCTCTATTATTTCCGTTTTTATGAGTACAGAGTTGACACCATTTTTTGTTTTGGGCAAAAGTACATTTTTGCTCTAGTTTTTATAAACCCCAACACAAACCACTAGTTAAAGTACATTTTTGCTCCAGTTTTTATGAGGAATAGGTAATTTTTTGCTCCATTTGAAGTTCAAGTGTTTGGATTACAGAGTTGACACCGAGATTTTGTTTTGGGCAAAAGACACAAGAATTTAAGTTAGAGATTTCAAACAAAAAATATATATTAATAATACTTTTTATCTCGTGTGTTCATTTTCAATCTAACGGTTCTTATCTAGATGTGTAAATAGCATGTGTACCGTGTACATGAGAGAAAAATCAATTATAGGGCATTGCCCGGTGCATTCACGTAAGCATGGTAGTTTTTAATCTTTTGCTCCTTAGTCTCTGAGCATTGCCTAATTTTTCGTTATTCTTGTAAAAAAAATTCTGATGTCAAAAACATTTACAAACTTAGTTTCGTGATTTTCTGTTTACTTGACGCATTTTTCTAAATTTCTTCCCCTAGATTCAGTTACTTCATTGTTACATGATCCATTTATCTTAAACCACCAGTATTCATTCATTCAATGAACATTTGAACCACAAATTAGGGAAAGAAAAAACTAAACCTAAAAAACAAATTGAGGCAAGAAGAGAACAAAAACCCTAAATTCCAAAATCAATCTTAATAATTTGAGAAAATACTTTAGAAACTTACCATCAAAAGTGTTAAGAGGAGGAATGCATTCTGAAATTTCTTCCATGCCATCCTCCTTGCATGCCATATCCAATATCTTCTGCAACTCAATGTCCATCTGGAGCTCTTCATCTGTTATTATCAGGTCATCCATTGTGATTTTTCACAAGAAGTAATAAAGAGGACAGGGGAACGGAAAGAGAAGAAGCAGTGGAAATTTAAGAATAGGTCTCGTTGGGCTCGACGGAGGGAGTGGGAGGCTCCGAAGAAGCAGTGGAAATATTTGTGGCGGCGAGGGAATCGGGCCACGAGAGGTGTCTGGGTTTGGGGAAAAAGCGGGAGGTGTCTAGGTTTGGGGAAGAAGCGGGAGAAGAATGGGGGAGTGGGGGAGATTCATTCCAAGTAAATCAAAAATAAAAAACAACTTTTAAAAGTCAAAAAGTAAAAATGGTATATATGGAAGAGTAAATAGTAAGATATCAATTAAGTATTAAAAAATAAGAAGGGGTGTGGGAAAGGTAATTAAGGGTGTGTGAAAATCACAACCCAAAAAAAAAATATGAGTTTATAAAAAATCTGTTAAAATTCTATTTTTTAAAGAGTAATGTTATTCATACCATGTATTTATATCACATTTATATATCAGCTTAGGTGACATCTGATGTGGACAACAACATCATTTGAAAAATTTGCAAAATCCAAGGAAAGGAATGAGAAATACTCCTCGTATACCACAATCATAATTTAATTAATTAGTTTTTCTTAATTATTAGTTTATTAAATAATGAACTAAATTTAAAAATGTAATTAATTCAAATGATGTAGCTGTCCACATCAAATGTCACCTAAGATGGTTTGAAAATGTGGTACAAAAACATGATATGAATAACATTACTCTTTTTTAAAAAGGGGTAAATCTCCAAAATGGTCCCTGAGATTTGCATAACTCATCACTTTGGTCCCTGAGATTCCAAATCGATAAAAGTGGCACCATCCATCATTTTGGTCCTTCCGTTAAAAACTCCGTTAAGTGTCCCAGAGCTCTTGGCAGGAAGTTTGGCAATTTTCAAAGCTTCTTAACTCAATCGTTTCTTAACCAAATTTAACTCATAATATATCAAAATGAAGATAGGAAAGTGTATAATAAGATTATACCTATTTTGAAGCCTAATGGTTGCCGGAGATTGCTGGAAAATAGCCTCAAAGTTGACTGGTTCGAGTGAAAACTTGAAAACTCGTCGGAAACTGAGTAAACTTTAAACGTTCATAACTTCTCCAATACTCAACGAAATCAAGTAACTCAAAAACGAAAATCATACTTCTCGACGAGATGAAGAGAATAGTACATTTTTCGATGGCTAACTCAATGTGTTTTGGCCGAAAAAACGGTTCGAAAGTGGCTAACTTGAGACCAAAACAGCCACTTTCAAGCCGTTTTTCGGCCAAACCACAGCGAGTTAGCCGTAAAAAAAGGTATCATTCTCTTCATCTCGTTGAGAAGTGTGATTTTTGTTTTGAATCACTTGATTTCGTTGAGTATTGAAGAAGTTATGAACGTTTAAAGTTTACCCAGTTTTCGGCAAGTTTTCAAGTTTTCACTCGGACCAGTCAACTTTGAGGCCATTTTCTGGCAATCTCCGGCAACCATTGGGCTTTGAAATAGGTATAATCTTATTCTACACTTTCCTATCGTCATTTGATATATTATGGGTCGAATTTAGTTAAGAAACGATTGAGTTACGAAGCTTTGAAAATTGTCCAAACTTCCGGCCAAGAGCTCCTGGACACTTAACAGAGTTTTTAACGGAATGACCAAAATGATGGATGGTGGATAATCTTAGGGATCACTTTTATCGATTTGGAATCTCAGAGACCAAAATGATGAGTTATGCAAATCTGAAGGACCATTTTGGTGATTTATCTTTTTAAAAAGTATCCTTTGAAATTTCTCTTTTTAAGTATTATATAAAATGAATCAGATGGCACTGGCAGGCACAGCAAACAAAGCACCAAAGCTTCTTCTGGTTCTGGAGCACCACGGTACGTGTGGGATAAATAGAATCATTGTTAAAATGTGCCTTCCATGCACAGGTTGTGGACAGGAACGAGAAGTGAAGACAGTGCGCGTGGCGATTAGGTTCTGAGGAATGACAATGAGTTGATAATTGGCTGCATGCCCATTCAGCCATGTGTTTTGGTCGTGCAAAAAAAGTATTGTGAAATTGAAAAATGACCATTTTCATTTTCCAATTTTGGTCACAAGCCACATCCACATTATTTGCTCCTAAATTTTTGGGAAACTTCTCAAATTTCCATGGTAGAAGTCGTTTGTTCAACTCTCCATCTCCAAATGGTCGATAGACTCTCAAATACCACTCCCCAATTCCCCTAGTTTTGGTTTTATAATCCATGGCCTAGCCCGTGGGGCACTCAACAACAAAGTTAATATAACATATTTGCCCTCGCGGCTGATGGCTTTTGGGAGTGGCTCTACCTATAAAACAATGTGTGTTTACATATAAATGGATCAGAGAATACATTTCTTTAACACGTTTACGATCCAATTATTAATCTGTGGTTATATTTAATTTAAGATGATGATTGAAAAGCTGGCTAGCAAGAGTTAATAAAGAAATCCATGGTCTACAAACTCATGTGTTACGTAACTAGATGGGTACCATACATTATCAATTAAACATAAGGGCAGTTGGCCTGTTAGGTTGGATTCCAATAAATTGGAATCACAATATTTGGGAATATTTGACGTCAATATGGATGAGTTTAATTGATGAGTATATGTAAGATTGTAAAAGACACTGGTCGTTAGTTCGGTTGCGGGTTGGCGCTTAGCGTTTAGGTGTTTGGGCGAAGGATGAAGCGGACTAGGAAGATTTAAGCAAATTTATTATAACGTATAAATAAATGCCTAATTATACTTATGAAGTATATAATTTCATTGGAATACATAAATCATCATACCCCTTTTGTCTTGGGCAACACACGTGCTACAATGGCTAGGACAAAGAGTTGCGATCCCGCGAGGGTGAGCTAACTCCAAAAACCCGTCCTTAGTTTTGGATTGTAGTTTGCAACATGCCTACATGAAGCTGAAATCACTAGTAATCGTCGGTCAGTCATACGACGATTTTGTTCCCGAGCCTCGTACACTCCGTTCGTATTACAAAATAAAATGACATATATATTATAAAGTACTAGAACCTAATAAAACCTCATTAACACAACAAGAATTTTAAATACTAAAATTTGAGATGTCTCACTCGTAAATTAAAAACCTCAATTAACACAACAAGAACCAATGATGGCAATAACCTCAATTAATTCTAGATGAACTAATAATCATGTGCCATGACTCAAAAGAAAGATATATAAGAAAAGAGGGTATATTGTTAGAAAGGTAACTTGACTGGGGATAAGTTCTTGTTACCGATTGAAGGAATTTGATGATTATAGACGAAATAATTCTTATTAAAAATTACTCTATAAAAATCACTTATGCAAAAAATTAATAAAAAATAACATCTTTAATAATTGAAATGTATAAAAAATGGCGGATACAATAAAAATATACAAATTATTTTTTTATTTGCTACAATTAATTGGCCAAACAACCTTATGTTAAATAAATTTCTAAATAATAATTACAGAATAATTTCTTGATATGAACCGTTTTAATTATATATAAAAATTTCATAAAATTAATAATAAAATGTCTTGAAGAGTAGCTCCTCAATTTTAAAGATATAAACTCTTCTTTATTGTTAACCCATACCTTGCCATTGCGGAAAGTAAACGAGGAGGAGGGGATGGACACGAGAACGTCGAGGAAAAAGTGGTGTACGTATTTCTGAAACACAATGACACGTGTAGGACGCAGAAGAAAAGGTCGGAAAATGTGGCATCCATGCAAATGCGAGTAGCTTGCAACAACCCATGAACCCCACGAGAACAGCGCGTGACCACCACGTTTCCTCTGATCTCCGGAATGTCAGACTCCACCCACGTTACGTGGAAAAACGTCACCTGCTTTATCTCTCTCCATCACAATTTTAACTCCTAAATTTCAGGAGGCCTTTTTGCAATACCGCCATCGAATCTGTGGGCGCTTCTCAAACCTAATTGCCTTTGTTTCATTTGTTTATTTACTGTTATTTTTATTTGTGGAATATGTTCTTTTTGTGTCTTCGTGTTTAAATTAGCGTGAAGCAACTGCAAAAGTATAATCTCATTGTTTATTAGTTCATAATCTAGCTTAACATTATTGTGTGCCATATAGAATCTAAGCACACAATATTTGGTTTTTGTTGAATACAAAACTTCTAGTTACATATTAGAAAAACATGTTGACTGTGCTGATTGAAGCAAGGTTCAATGCATTCAACTTATCTGGTTCATACATGCATGTGTTGCTATTGGACTTTTGTATGAAAATTGTGTGGTTCTAAGTCGTTTGGTATAAAGGATCGATGTAACTGGAACAAATCATTCTACAAAATTCAAGAATATCAAAGGTAGATGGGAACTATTTTTCATTTTGAGGAGATTATAAGAGGATTAGATACAATAAAAACTTCTTCCTTGTTATTCTTTTACTTTAGGGATGGAATATATAAGGTTTATTTCTCGAACAATCATGCTCCTTTTGATCACAATTTTTTCATTTCTTCCTTCAACATACTTTAAAGGGTAAATCTCAGTTTATTACTCTCAAGTTTTGTGGTTTTCAACATTTGATATATGAAGTTTTTTTCGTCCAAGAGTCATACCTAAAGTGTTAATTTTGGGACGGTCTCATACATCCGTTAGTCTGACTATGAGGCGTCCATATGGATAATGAATGGGCACCACGTGTCATTAAGGGGTCCATGTGAAAATTAAAAATTCAAGTTGGCCCCAGTTGGACATTAAAAAATAATAAAAATTTAAAATTAAAATTAATTCTTTTTTCTGGGCTATCTCCTACTCTTCCCCCCCCCCCCCCCCCCCCCCCGCGAGTCCCAACACTCCCTCCTTCCCTCCCTCATTTCTCTCCTCTCCACCCACCCAACCCTAAATTCAATTAATTCTCCCAACTCCCACTTCGATGGCCATCGTCCCCTCCTCTACCTCTAGTTCCCACTTTAATTAATTCTCGCTTTCAATTATTCTTCTCTACACGAAGACACCCAAATCTTGCAGGTACTCTCTCTCTCCTCCTCGATCTATCTCTCTCTACCTCTATGATTTTTAATTTTTTTTCTTCCATTTTTTGTGAATTTGAAGGAAGTTCAGAATCAAATCTCCGCTAAGAACAAGTGGATTTGCAGGACGTCAGGGTCTCCAAGCTAGATATGGGTAGGGGTTCGATTCGGGAGTGCCTAACGATATGAATTCTGGGTTGGATTCGGGAAGATCCACGTCGGTGTTGGATTTCGAGCGAAGGGTTGGAGGCCTCGACCGAATCCAGAGGAGGAAGGTAAAGATATGCTGCCTTGGGCTTGGCATGTTGGAGGATTGGGCTCCATGAATAACTTATGCGGCGACATCTCTTGGCTGAGGTTGGGTTTTGGGGTGTGGAGGATGGGGTTAGGTTTTTGGATGAGGATGATGAGGGTTTGGAGCAGGAGGTTGTTGGGGATTTGCAATTAAGGGTGGGCAAATTGGCCCTAGCCCTGTGGGGCGAGCCGGTTCCATGTGGTTCGAGGCGGGTCTGAAATTTGTAAAGACAAAATGGGGCGGGCCGGGGCAAGGATCTCAAAATTATAGGAGCGGGGCGGGTGCAAAGGCTTGAGAAAACGAGGGCCCGTTGGACCCGTTTCTCCCAATTCTCACAAAAATATATGTTGTGGCCCCGTGTACCTTTGTACTACATTGTTTTCTTGAGTGGTAGTACAATTATACTTCATTGTTTTCTTTCTTTATTTCATTTTTTTTAATTTTATTTTTTAGCTGGGGCCTCGTGTACATCAGTCTCCATCATAACTCTCTCTCACTTCTTCCTCACCTTCTCACTAGAAAGAAATCAAACTTGAATCTCATCAGTCACTTCTCTCACCATTTGGCACCATTGTTTCGAGACCATCGTTGTCACTGTCAACAACCATGTCGTCGTTGTCGAAGAAGATCACCCTCAAGAGCTCGAATGGCGAGTCGTTCAAGGTTGAGGAGGTGGTGGCGTTGGAATCGCAGACCATCAAGCACATGATCGAGGACGATTGCGCCGACAACGGCATGTCGACGCCGCCAATCTCGATGAGAAGATCTCCGAGTACGATCTCAAGGCCTGGGATCAGAAGTTGGTTTGATTCTAGGGTTTCAGAATTTGGGGATTCGGTTGGGTTAAGGTTTTTTTGATTTGGGAATTGGGGTCAATTGTGTTGTTTTAGGGCCTAGAGTTATTAATTTAGGGGTTTTCTATGATGGTGGATTGAATGGCGAGCAGCCAGCGTCATCTTACTCAAAAGTTGACAAGCAAGGGAAATCGGACGGAAAAAGGGTTTGGGTGGGGGGAAAAAAATAGAGGGTCTAGTTCCAGTGATCAGATTTGCAATACCCGGCCTGGCCCATGCCCACCCCTATTTGCAATGGTGAAGACAGAAGTTCGAAATGGGGATGGGGATGGGAAAAACCCAGTTTTTTTTTTCTTTAATTTTTTTTCTTTTTTTTAAGTTTTAATTTATTATTATTTTATTATTATTATTTTAATTTTTTTAAGTTTTAATTTTTTATTATTTTTTAATGTCCAAGTGGGGCAGCTTGAATTTTTAATTTCCACATGGACCCTTTAATGACACGTGACGCCTAATCATTGTCCACATGGGTGCCACATCATCAATTAACGGAAGATTTAACAGTCAGACTAACGGATATATGAGACCGTCCCAAAATTAACACTTTAGGTATAACTCTGGGACGAAAAAAACTTCATGTACCAAATGTTGAAAACCACAAAACTTAAGGGTAGTAAACTGAGATTCACCCTACTTTAAAAATAGATACTTATCCATTTCAATCTAATCCTTCAAACCCAACAAGGCTTTAAGATTTAGGAATTTTTATTTGTTATACGAAAATGAATCCAATCTATAAGTTAAGTATAGGCTCAAGTTCCCCTCTCACCCTTTTTATTTAGAAAATTTTACATTAATATAGCAAGTATTTACAAAATTTCTATTAAATTCTGGTCTTCCTTCATATTATGTTTTCTCACTCAATTTTATGTCTAAAACTATGTCGAGTTGCATATTTTTGTTTGTACGATAGTGAGTGTTATTATGAATACAACAGGTAAAGAAAATATTAAACGCGGGCCACAAAATTAGAGTTTTTAAAGTTTTCGCTCTGTCCTAGCATGTTGAAATTTGTAAGTGTTTGAGTTGAACCTTCACTTAGTCTCAAAGTGGAAAGAACTTCCTTTTTGTTCATAATTGTTGGCCTCCATCTATGCTAAAAGGGAGTGAGACTATAGGCATCCATAGCACATTGAGAATAAATAGCTGTGAAAAGAGCTTAGTAAGTGTTTGGTAAAATATAGTGCTAAAAGTGTTTTTAGCAAAAAAAAAAAAAAGGATGGAATAGTTATGATTACTAATATGAAAGTTTCATTAATTAGTATTGTTCATCTGCCTTCAGTGAAAAAAAACACATTTTTGAGAATTAGGTGTATAGCTACTTCTGCTTTCTGCTGTTTTGGACCCAAAATTTTGAATAAGAAAGCACTTTTTTTTTCACTTAATAAACACAATTAAGGGTTCTTAACTTTTTAAAGAAGTTGCTTTAAAAAAAATTAAGCAATCCCAAACCAAAACACTGAATTATGAGTAAAAAAATTTGCAAAGACCCCTTGAAAGTACCAAAGAAACGCCACTAACATGTAGATAATTTGAGTTTTATATTGTACCCAAACGGACTGAATTTCTTGACCCAAGGGGCAAAGAAATAACAAGCATGAATTTGATTCGGATGGGTTCCTCGAAGTTGGAAGATTTGGAATATGGTCTCTTCTATTCCAAAATTATCAAGCAAATATCTGCAAGCTTAACAAGGACGAGTCCAATCTATTTTGGCTTGAATATACACAAACATATGTATATGCACACATGGTTTTTCTACTTTGCGGTTAATCACATTATTTAAATGCGGACATGTAGTCAATATGTGGTCAGTATGTATTATTAGAGTTTACACTCTCGAATTTGACGTAGATAATTCAGAGTGGTGTTTTAACGGGATGATTCACGAGTTATTTCTATAAGGACTAAGAAGTTTGAAAGTAAATAAAAGAAAGTTTGAAAGTAAATAAAAGAAATCAACCATTGTTTCCATCACCCGAGCTCTCCACAAATTAGCTGCTTGGGGAGAGCTCGATCGATTGTTTTTAAATAACGTTATGTAAGTTGACAGATGGAGAATTAAAGTCCTGGCACAATTTTTATCCACTTCTTAACCAAAATCACTACGAAGAGTGGACTTCCACACATAATCCTAAAAGTTGCAAATTAATTAATTTCATTTCCTTGTTTTGAAATGGTTTCCCATGTTTGGTTTGGATTAGAGTTTTTTGTTTGTTTTGTCAAATTGGTTCACACAATCAAACTGTCAGGGTCGGTTTGATTTGGTTTTGTTTTGTTTTTTGGTTCATCTTGGCTTTGGCTCTTTTTGTACATGTTTTCAGTACACCCACGATCTCGAGTGCTAAGCATTCTACTTTTCTGGCATTTTCAATTTTAATGTTTGCTTAGTTTTTTATCGGTTACCTGTTCGTTTCTAACGTCTATTGAATATGGTGGGTGCGAAAGATGATTCTCTTCAAGATATTTGTGTGAGACTGAATGAAAGTAATTACACTCATTTGACAAATGTTATGAAGATTTTTTTGATGAAAAATCAATGTGTGGTTATGTACATGAAGATGTTACCGTTCCATCAGATATTAAGAGCAACTCTGCTCCCATTAATTGCCAAGGAAATTAGGCAATCGAATCCACTAAAACTCAAAAAATCCTCTCCATCCCAAGCCCAAAATGTCAGGCTATTCGTGAGCCCATCCATTTCGTATCAAGCAATCATGCAATCTCTACTCTTGTGTGTGCTTTAGTATATGTATGTGATGTAAAGTTGACGTCATTTACGTTATAATTTTTTTTTGCGTCAGGCACATCTACTTTACACGTGCTTGACGGCAATTCAGCCGACGAAGACCCAAGCGTTGGGTCCCGTGCACTCACCCCAACTGTCGTTAGATTGCAATAGTATGGGTTGTTGGATTACCAAAAAAAAAAAATGTAATCCAACTATCCATATTAGTTAGGTGAGAACAAAATATTAAAAAATTAAAAATTCCAAGATCATAACACGTGACACTGTAGAATTGATTAAACATCTACTCGAAAATCAAACCACACAAATTGTAATTTCAGAGAATAACACGTAGTGCTACATAATTGATTGAACATTTAATCAAAAATCAAACCACAAAAATTGTAATTCTTGAAGAATAACACGTGGCGTGATAGGATTGGTTAAAAATCTTATCTGAAATTAAGCATAAAATTATTTTTTTATTAACATTTAAAAAAAGTTCAATACCAATTGCCCTGACTATTCATTTTTGAAGCACAGATACATTCGGATAATTACTATTCATTAAAATAATAATTACCTTTGCATAATTAATTGTGCAATTATGGTCTGAGTGAGGTAGAATTGCTCTAAGGAGAAAAACTATGTTGAGTTGCTAGATTCTTGGCGGATGAACAATTCTAAAATTATTTATTTGGATCAACAATTCTGTTGACATGCAACTTGCAAAATTTTCTACGTCTAAAAAAGTTTGGGATTGTTTAGCTATGTTGTATATGAAATCTAAATTTACTAGACGATTCCAATTAGAGACTGACAATAAAAGTATTCAAAACTTTTATCACATAATGACTGGCCTTTAGAATCCTGTAGGACTTAGCTCTATTCATCTTTATTGTACATATAGAGAAGACCAACCCTTGTTCAATTTCTAATGGCTCGACATGTAAGATGTATATGTATATAATTACCATATTATAGACCATAGGTATGCCATTGAGCCACAAAAGATCAGAACAACTTTGCAACTATAAAGATGAAACGAGAAGAATACCTTCAGCACCAGATGAAGAAGATGAAGTCATGAAAGCCTTTCAAACAGTTTACCTTCTCCTCTTTAGCAATAAAACTAGTGCTCTCAAAGAATAGGTCTTTGAATTGAAACGAGCAGGAGAATTGCAAGAGCAGTGACTAGTGTTTATATACTGAATGTTTTCCTTACTGACCTCCTATTAAAATCAGCATAGGACTCAACTATCCAGTTCATATTAACATGTGAATATACACAATCCGAGCACATATTTAAGTCCTCAAAACTCAAACTATCATTAGTACTATCAATCCTACAAGAATTAGGATTACTCAAAGCTTATTAACAAGACTTTTCCATATCTAATTCTAACACTATAACAGGCTTTAATGTCATGTTTAGACTCATATTCTAAGACGACAATCAATTTTATGTCCAAGACGTAAATTGTGGAGCATTCTAGTAGTGAGTAGATGTTGAGAATAACCATCACATTGATAGAAAGAGACTTTAACTTATAAGAGGTTGAGCCACTCTCATATTGTCAATTAATTTTATGATACTTTGTTCAGTAGAAACGATTGACTAGAACACAAGGACATGGTAGTTAGGTTGTACATATCAGACACAGTGTTTACTTAATTCATCACTTCTTTCACCAATTTCACATGGCATATAATTTTCCCCACACATGCAAAATTACTTTTTTAACTTTTTTTTATACATGTTTTCATGTGTTTGGATTCTTTTATATCTATCTATTATATATAAAAGCCAATGGAAAAGTGAATAGTGATTTTGGTGTCACCAAGTTTCAATAAAAATATTTGAACAAAAATGCCCCCAAGACAAAAAACTTCAAAGGCATCCCAAAATAATGCATCAATAAGACAGGGGTATTTTCGTCATTTTAACAATATTTTTTAATAATTAATTTTTTTTACAGTTTTTTTATTTATATTTTTTTATAATTAGTATCTCACAATAGGCTAGCAATAATGTGATTCAAAACATCTTAAGAGGTGTGTAATGCTGGTTATAAAAAAGGTCTTTCACACGCGGATAATAATGTGATTAAATAAGTTGTTAAATGATTTTTTTTTAACAAATGATATTATCTACACTAAGGGGGAGGAGGGGTGGGCTTAGCCTTACAATGAGCTAGCAATAATATGATTCAATCAGTTGTTTATTAAATATTATTTTCTCTATTTTTAAACACGTTCAAAACATCTTAAGAGGCGTGTAATACCGGTTATAAAAAAAAGGTCTTTCGCACGTGGATAATAATGTGATTAAATTAATTGTCAAATTATTATTATTTTTTTAAACAAATGATATTATCTACACTAAAGGGGAGGGGTGAGCTTAGCCTCACAATGAGCTAGCAATAATATGATTCAATCAATTGTTTGTTAAATATTATTTTCTCTATTCTTAATGTAAATTTTATAGAGACCGATTTTATTATATGAATTCAGCTGCTTTTATTGGTTTATGAGAGATTTATTCTAGCATGATCTAACATTATTCATTTACTTCAAATATTTGACTTTCCTTTTATTAATTTACGCATATAAATACATTTAAAATGTGTAAATCACGCATAGTACGTCATGATTCAAAAAATGCCTTCTGCACATGCATGAACGTGTGCATGAAGGCTAGTGTCTATGTATGTCTTTATAAAGAGATAAGATGAGTGGCCGAGTACACCATAAAAAGAGAGACAACTCATCAAAGGTGAGATTACGCTTTTGTTTTTGTTTTGTTAGAATAAAGATTACAACGATTAAATTTACACTTATCAATCAACCAAAGTTCAGAGGCCTTTCTCTTAGCTGTCATGGTAGTTGTGTTTCTCTTCGTTCAAGGTCGCAACATTCTCTTGTTTTCTTGCCAGGTTCTTAAACTTCTCCCCAGTTGTCTCATTTGGTTCTTAGTAGATGTTTATTTTTTTGTTTCTTTATCCAGATTGAACAGTTTTTTGGGACTGAATACGTGGTGTTTTAACCATGTTGCTTACATATTTTCGAATTTCTTTATAGATTGCAGGTTCTTCCTTATCGGATCGGGGCGTTGGTTTGATTTCGTTCTTGGATCTTGTTGCTTCCTCTTTGGTAACCCTTTGCTGAAGGCTGGCTAAAAGGTGAGTTGAGTTGGAAGCTGAATCACTCAAAGTATGAAAATGCATACTGTAATTTCTTCTCTTGTTCGTTCTTAGCTTGGTAATCCTTATATGACTTTTTCTGAATCGGCGTCTCGCATGGTATCTTATTGCTGTGCCTTTACACGTCTCCGTGCTCTAAGAAGCTTACCCATCTAATTTCAGCAATTCTTTGAAAAATGTTTAAACTCTTTCTCTGGTTGACATATTAGGATATTATTTGATAATTATTTCGCTTTCAGTTTTTTAACTGAAATGATTATTGTTTGAGCCATAAATTAGGCCTGCTAAGGCCTATCCATTTTATTCACGCGAAAGTCGCATGACTTTGGCCCACCAACTTCGAAGCTCAAACCAATGCTCAGAGGACCATCTCACTTAACTCCAACATGTCTAAGGCTTGAATAGAAATCTCTTCGAAGTGTTTCTTCCACGCAAGCGACCCAGGTCTGAAAGTATTTCGTCTCCTTAAATACCTATGCATGCATCATCCACATGCTGATGCCACAAACACGTCATCCGACACAATATGTCACTACCACCACCTAGAAATTACAGTCACTGTTAGCATCAAATGACCGATTTACCCCTGCTCCAGCTTAACAATGTGATCGAGGTTGGTTTTTTTCCTGTGCCTATAAATAGAGCCACATGCCTTCAAGCTCAGGACCTTTGTCAAATTTAATCAACCCAAATGTTTTTCCAGCACAAACCCAATTGCTTTTCAGCAAAACTTTTTAGCTTTTTAGCTACAATATCAAGCCTTCTTTCGAAGCAAACACTGCCTATGATCCTTGTGATCCAAAACCTTTACAGCTCAGTCACCCTGTAGTAAAATTCGATTGATTTGCATTTCCAACCACCATGAATTTCTCTCTAAGGCGCATGTTTTGTACTAAGTCCAGTCTAATACTAGTGATCTCGATGGACTACTCTAGCATTATCTTGCTCTTTATGGCCTGAATTTTGCTAGAGTTTAATTGCTTTCTTTACATTTCCAATCAATTTACATTTCAAGTCATGTAGCTTGGCCCATCTGCCTAAATTTTACTTTTGTAAACGTTTGTAACCTTGACTTCATCATGAAATAATTGCATTATGTTTCTCATTTTAGTTTCTATTTCGCTTTCATTTACTTTTTAGGCAAGCATACAGGAAGTTACACTGAATTTTAAGTCCTTGTTCGCTCGATACACATAAAAGAATTTAACCAAATCAATGTCCTACTCAATACACAATCTTTTGTTTAAGAAGTCAAATTTAACACAACTTTCACACACGGGCGAACACAACATTGTTGTTGGCAACCTCTAACACTGACAAGCCTCTCTCTTTCTCTCGAGCCATCCTGTAACGCTGAGACCAAAAATAACACTCGCAGCAGTATGTGTTGTACTCAATTTAGATTCTATCTGAGTTTTGACACCAACAATTGTGTTACAAAGCTTATAATTTTGTACATTTCTTTCGTTCTTGGTCTTTTTCCAAGTATTTTTTAATTGCTAATCTTTTATTACAAACGAACATATAAAGGGAAAAAAAAAACCTTACATTATTGTTTATCTATAAATGAGAAGACTGGCTACTCTGGACATGTAGGTTAATTAACAATTAGATAGCCCATAGCTGCAGCCTCTTTTGAAGATTGCCCCAACTCAATCTGTGAGTGTAATTTTCCTTCCTTCTTTTTTTTTCGCTTATGCTCGATTAACATAAAATTTTGTTGGTAATAGGCAGATTAAATATTTTAGCAACGGTTGTCCCTACCAGTGTAATTGCTAATCTTAAACTCCTAACCGTATTAACTATAAAGATTGAAGCTGTCGGGTTAAAACCTACTTGTTGGCCGAAGATCTTTGGGACATCGTCGAAGGCACCAATGAACCTACGGATGTAATTTTTTTTATGTATGTTTCTATATTAATATTCAAATATTCAATATTGGAAATTAGATTTTATACTTATTTATATATTTTCATTTTACTAATAGCGACGTTTCCAAACGAGGCAAAGCTCCTAAAACAGATGAAACAAAAAGATGAACGTAAGGCTTGGAGGAGGAAGGATGCCAGGGCCTTATATGCAATCCAGAGTTTTTGTGGGGACGATACTTGTGAGTTTTTCAAGAGCGCAATCACGGCAAAAGAAGCATGGGATATTTTGTCAAATAAATTGATGCCACATTATATACAGTCAACCATCAGACAGAACAAGAACAGGTACGTACATATTGCTGATAGTGAACTCCACATTGAGGAAATGAGGGACCTTACTTGTGCTTATAAGTAGTTGAGTTACTCTCATATTGCCAATTGATTTTACGGTGAAACTCTAACTTTTTTCATTGTATCAGAGCATATTGTATCATGTGTGAAGCCTAGCGATCTTACGTGCTCCACTTCACTCGATTTGTGTTGTCCACGTATTAAGCTTGAAAATTCACATGAGGGAGCTTGTTGAGAGTGAATCCCACATCGGAGAAAAGAGGGACCTTGCTTGTGCTTTTTAGTAGCTGCGTTGCCTTCTCATTTACCAGTTGGTTTTACGGTGGAATCCTAATTTTCTATGACAATTGAAGAGGGGAGGGCGGAGAAAAAGGGAGGGGGTGGGGAGGGATGGAGCTGATCAACACACGGCAATGGTCACACGTGCTCCATGTCATTCGATTTGTGTTGTCCACGTGTTAAGCTTAAAGATTCACCACATATGAGGAAGCTTGTTGAGAGTGAATTCCACATCAGAAAAAATAGGGATCTTACTTGTGCTTATTAGTAGGCGTATTACCTAGTATTTTGTATTTATTATGGATTAATAAAGCATTCTGATTAGTAGCTGAACTTCTCACACACGTAGGCATTTGTAAGAAAGGAAAAGAAAAGACAAATTAAGAATTGATGGTAACATTGACCATCAAGATTTCCATTTTCAAATGAGAGGTCACTTCTTCAAGCGTATCCAGCCCCGATGATGATGGGCCAACCCCAACTGATCGTGAAGCTAGGCCAGAGCTCGCAATGGAAGGAGGGCTCAATGCAGGTAGTGTATATATACCTTGATCCCTCACAAATTAACATAGTGCGTGGGAAAGTTAGCAGTTAACAAAGTTAAAATAAAATAGGGGAAATTTGATATAAGTTCAATTTTTTGAGTCAATAGTAGGAATAATCCAATTTAATAAAATAAGTTCAATTCCTTAAATTTAATTATTTTATTATCAATAATTATCTTTTCAATGAAAAAATTTATTGTAAAAATCAAATTTCTTCCTAATTATCTCTTTGATTATTTCTTTTTATTTATTTATTTGTTATTTCTTGTTCTTCCTCTTGGTTTATCCTATTTATAGATTTTATTTTAATTTTTATAATCAACCTATATTACAGGTTAATTGTATTTATCTACCTATATGACAGATTTTTTTCATAGTCAACCTGCCACAGATTAATGTGTCTTACTTGTAGGTATATTATGTTTTTTCTACCTTTTAGTTAGGTTTCATATCTCACTTATTGACACACCTCGACCTGGAATGTCCACTAAGACTCCGAATCGAGTTGTGTTGGCCGACACCTGGAAGGTGACGAAACTATAAAGTGTGATGATGTGGAAAAATTGTAAATAAATTTAAACCTAAGAGTGCCTAAATACCATAGTGCATTGGTGAGCAGGAATAAACCCAATGCACACGTGATGTTAGAGCATAAGTAAGTACATAAGAGTGAATTGGGAATCATACCCTCTAAATAATCTCCAGTACTAAGAATCGCCACGAACCTTCGACGATAAGAAAGCTTAGCTGATAAAACCTGAAGGGTGAAGACAAGACAAAGGTGAGTGGCCCTGTAAGTAAGATTTTTATAGAAGCCATATAGAACATTATAACCCCTTGCTGCAACACCTGTATAATTTCCAGAAAAATCTTAATATACCACAACACAGCATCTCATCAGTAATATCAAATAATCATGCGATTAATGACTTATACTAGTACGTGAATCGGAGTCACCTAGGGTGACCTATACAACTTACCCATATCTCATCAATATCTCATCAATCAATCTAGCCGGAGTCACCTATAGTGACCTATATGGCATATTCATAGCTCATCAATCAATCTAGCGGAGTCACCTATATTCATATCTCATCAATCAATCTAGCCGGAGTCACCTATAGTGACCTATACGGAATATTCATAGCTCATCAATCAATCTAGCCATAGTCACCTATAGTGACCTATACGGCAAAACGCCTGCACACGAGTCAGAACAACTGGAAGGGTCTGTGCCACAAGATTGGGTGTAATATAGTTATGCTCAATGCTACTCTCTCATGATAGCTGTGCGATATATCTCTAGTCACCTACGAGTCGGAACCACCTATAATGGTCTGTATGACAAGAATGTGCACCTAAATTGGATCCAATGTGAGCATAGGGTGTGGGAGGTGACATTATAAACAAGCCTGTACCATATCTCTGGCTAAATCACAATCACCCGGGGTGCAGGTTTATGAGCTTTAAATGCATCTAATACAACGTATACGATTCATAAGCAACTTGTTTGACAATGCCAGAGTTGCTTAAAAACATAATTGTAGTCATATAATAACCCCATCAATTCAACTACTACCGTATACTTACTTGAACTTACCTAAACTTACCTGAACTTACCTGAACTTACATGTGTGTCCTACGTTCACCTTTGCACTTCAGAGCGTTCACAATAATTATGTGCAAGGAATATACGTATGGATATGCCTAACAGTAATCATAGTATTTCCAATTATATAATACGATGTACTAACTATTAATCACCAAAACATAAAGTTAAAACCCACATTTTTCACCAATATCCCTCACATTGCTCAATTCCTTAAAAAATGATATTGTCTTGATTATATAATCTCATTTCTTATATGGCTGCATCTAACGTCTCGTTAGACTGCCTACGTACCCTAAACAGGGATCAAGCCATTCGTAGTTCGCATATGGATATATCACGATGAAATCTAAACTCAACCATCTCATAGTATTTTATAACATATATATATATATATATGTCATGGCATAAATTTCTCAGTTTTATTTAAAAGCATTTATAAAATTATCAATCATAAAAAAAATATGATAAGCAAGGAAAGATCCACTCACCTGGAGTCCGCGCTAGAACTTCCTAGCACAAATATCGAGGTGTCACAATCGATCGGCTCCTATGACCAATTATCAAACCATATCTCAGAATTCTCGTTGATACAATACATAACTTACATCGCACATGAGTCTATGTAATTCGGTCTAGAAGATCTACATATCAGATCTCTGATCCGTAACTTCCAAGGATACACATTATGTTTCTAGAATAACATACTAAAGTTTTAGAACGATCCAACGGTCGGATCTCCGCCAATTGCCAAAACCAAGTGGCGGTTAACATTTTATTTTACGAACTTACAAATCCAATTCGAGAAGATCCGTATGTTGGATTCCAAATCTGTAAGTTCCTATATTCCTCAAATATTATGAATAATAACCTATTAAAATTTGATGACCATCCAACAGTCGGATTGTCGATTCATATAATGGCTTATTAACGTATCTTAGAGACTTTTGGTTCTAACGATCAATCTACATCATTCAATTCTCAAAAATGAATTCAAGGCATCAAATATAGCCTAAAAATAGCATTGGCGTCCCTCTGGCCACGTGCTGCTGCACGCACCACCGTGGATGGCGGTTGGCCGCCCCGACTCGCCGGAAAAATTAACTATCTCTAAAAATTACCAAAATTTGCAATTTGAAGATCTCAATGAGTAGAACAACTTTCATACTGTGACCAAGGTCAATTTGGCTTGGAAAGGCTCCAATTTCATCAAAACCCATCGGAAACCCTAGTTTTTGGTGTGATCGATTCGTCCTCTACTCAACTCTGCCGCTCCAACCAACAATTGGGCATTGTTTCTAGGTTCAAGGGAAGTGTATGGGTAGTGGTAATTGGAAGAAATTGTTTCAGAAATGGTAGATTTGGAGCAAAGACCTCACGGCACCCGTGTGGGTGTTCTTCGCGAAATCACAACGAAACTCGTTGATTTTTGGGTCGAATTGGATGCTGGGATATCTTAAGGGTGTTTGAGGGGATGGGAGGTTGAAGAAAACTGGAAATTTGGACGAAAAACCGTCGGGAAAACACCCTATAGAACCTGGTCTTCACGTGGGTTAAAAGGACCTGACCGCTCTCCTCATTTTCCTTCTCCCTCTTTTCCCTCTTCTGGTTGGCCGTCATCTCCTTCTCTCTTCTCCTGATTCGCCCTCTCTTCTTTCTTCCAAATTGGGCAGTTTTTCCCAATCCCGTTTGCCCTCCATTCTTCCTCCCCGGCTCTCTTCTTTTCTTTTCCCATATTCTAACAATACTCATATAAAAATACTTATATATATATATATATATATATATATATAAGTATAAATATTAACTAAAACCAAAATACTTCTTGGGTTTACAGTTCCGTAAAACTTTAACCGTAACTCCAAATCCTCTTCTACTTATGCCTACGAGCCCGTGTTGTCGAATACTTCAGGGATACGCTAAAGCAAAATTTCATACGCCTTACTATATGCTGATCAACGAAAATCAAAACCTTTAACTTTAAGGGCACATTCATAAAATCATGCCTTTAAAATTCATAAATTCGTAAAATTAGAAACGGGCTGTCACAATGTACCATTTGTCACATCCCGGGCCCGTTCTACCACCGTAGCACGATATTGTCCGCTTTGGGCTTACCATTCCCTCACGGTTTTGTTTTTGGGAACTCACGAGCAACTTCCCAGTGGGTCACCCATCTTGAGAGTGCTCTGGCCTTCTTCTCGTTAAACTTCGGAGTTCCTATGGAACCAGAAGCCAGTGAGCTCCCAAAATGCCTTATGCTAGGTAAGGAAGGAAATATACATTTAAGTATCACTCCCCTGTGCGATGTGGGATGTCACAATCCACCCCTCTTAGGGGCCCGACATCCTCGTCGGCACACTTCCGGCCAGGGATTGGCTCTGATACCATATGTCACATCCTGGCTCGGGTCCACCACATCTCGGGCTCACTCTACCACCGTAGCACGATATTGTCCGCTTTGGGCTTACCATTCCCTCACGGTTTTGTTTTTGGGAACTCACGAGCAACTTCCCAGTAGGTCACCCATCATGAGAGTGCTATAGCCTCATTCTCGCTTAACTTCGGAGTTCCTACGAAACCCAAAGCCAGTGAACTCCCAAAAAGTCTCGTGCTAGGTAGGGATGAAAATATACATTTAAAGATCAGTCCCCTGGGCGATGTGGGAGGGAGTGATCCTTATATGTATATTCTTATCCCTACCTAGCACGAGGCCTTTTGGGAGCTCACTGGCTTCGGGTTCCGTAGAAACTCCGAAGTTAAGCGAGAAGGAGGTCAGAGCACTCTCAGGATGAATGACCCACTAGGAAGTTGCTCGTGAGTTCCTAAAAAAAAAATCGTGAGGGAATTGTAAACCCAAAACGGACAATATCGTGTTACGGTGGTAGAGGGGGCCCGGGATGTGGTTGACCCGGGCCAGGATGTGACAAATGGTATCAGAGCCAATCCCTGGCCGGAAGTATGCCGACGAGGACGTCGGGCCCCTAAGGGGGTTGGATTGTAACATCCCACATCGTCAAAGGGAGTGATCCTTAAATGTATATTCCCATCCCTACCTAGCACGAGGCCTTTTGGGAGCTTACTGGTTTCGGGTTCCGTAAAAACTCCGAAGTTAAGCGAGAAGGAGGCAAAGCACTCACAGGATGGGTGATCCACTGGGAAGTTGCTCGTGAGTTCCCAAAAACAAAACCGTGAATGAATAGTAAGCCCAAAGCGGACAATATCGTGCTTCGGTGGTAGAGCGGGCCCGAGATGTGGTGGACCCAGGCCAGGATGTGACAAATGGTATCAGAGCCAATCTCTGGCCGGAAGTGTGCCGACGAGGACGTCGGGCCCCTAAGCGGGGTGGATTGTGACATCTCACATCGCCCAGGAGAGTGATCTTTAAATGTATATTCTCATCCCTACCTAGCACGAGGCCTTTTAGGAGCTCACTGACTTCGGGTTCCGTAGGAACTCTGAAGTTAAGCGAGAAGAAGGCCAGAGCACTCCCAGGATGGGTGACCTATTGGGAAGTTGCTCGTGAGCTCCTAAAAACAAAACCGTGAGGGAATGGTAAGCCCAAAGCAGACAATATCGTGCTACGGTGGTAGAGTGGGCCCAAGATGTGGTGGACTCGGGCCAGGATGTGACACTTATAGGTATAATATATATCCATAAATTTGCTACTTGAGTTAGGGTAGAATGTTTTGCAAATAGATTTATGTTAGTATATTAATTTTTTTGTTATAAGATATTAATTAGATATTTTGGAGTTGGAAAATGCATAATATTAAAATATTTTAATTGATTTTTAATGTTTTTAGAAAACATTAAATGAGTATAAAAGAAATAAATACATATAATTAGATAACTGGATTCACTCTTAAAAACAGACCTGAATCTAAAAGCCCCAATAAAATATGGCATGCAGGACATGAGAGCAATGCAAACGATATTCATGCAACTTTCGTCAAATATGTGAAGTCTAATGATTGGGATAAAGCGATCCAGTTTCTTCGCGACCATCCCCAGGTAGGAAGTGAAAGAATTTCAATTGGCGGTACAGCTCTTCGCTACGCAGTCCGGCCGCTTAACAACTGCAGCGTGCGCAATATAGAACAATTGGTGGAGTTAATGGCAAAGGAAGATTTGGCAATTCAAGACACATTCGGTCCACAGCTCTGTATCTTTTAATAACATTTCGTCAAAACAGGGTTGAAGTAGCCAAACGCATGGTTGAAAAGAATGACAAATTACTTAGTATTTTACCTTCCGGCACTGACGCCTCTAGTTGTCTTCGCTCGGAGTTTGTCAAATGGGGAAAGAATGGCTCGTTATCTCTGTTCTGTTACTCCACGCCAAACACTGCACGTTACCGATGCCTCTCAACTGATTTCTCTCGGCTTTCGTTACAAACGATTTGGTAAGAGAGGGAATCGACTGACTTTCAAACATGACCAATTATTAATGTCGACGCCCTAGCTATATCTTCTTTTGCCCGTGTGTGATTTTTTTGGTTACATATTTTATCTGCATACTTACACTGTTGTTTTTCAAACTTCTATTATATATAGATATAGCGTGGGATTTGATTCAGCGCTACCCACAACTACCCATGGTTAAAAATCACGACAGAGAATTCCCCTTAGTAACATTGGCAAGTGATCGCTCTGCATTCAAAAGTGGAAGCCGACTCAATTTCTGGGAAAAGTTGATTTATTACGGTTAGTTCAACACTGCTTTTTATTTTCTCCTCATATTTTCAGTTTTTTAAATTACCTATTACCCTCCACAATAAAAGTCCTTTAGCTCTACTTTGAAAAAATAAAAGGGTTTTTAAACTTTAATCCCTAAAGAAGATTAAAATTTAATAAAAACCTGGTGTTAGATTGGATATTGGTTTTAGTCATTTAATGTGTACTTAATTCAAATTCATATTATGTTTTCGTTTTAATATTTAATAGATATCTTATTTAATGTCATTACATTAAATTTTAAATTTATTATTATACACATTTTAATTCATTAATTTTATTTAACTTCCTCTAATTAGTGTACCTAAACATATGTATCTTAATATATTTGTACTAAATTAGTGTACCGAAATGTCTATACGCAAATATATTGTACTACCTAAATGTATTGTAGTTAATTAGTGGCACATAACAAAATATGCAAAAACATAAGTGTACCGAAAATTGCTTACCTAAATATATAATACTAAACTAAGATACCGAAATGCTGGTACCTAAATATATTATACTAAACTAGTGTACCGAATTGTCCGTATCTAAACATATTATACTAATCTAGTGTACCGAAATCTTCGTACGTAAATATACTGTAATGAATTGGTGGCATATAAAAAAATATGTAAAAACATAAGAGTACCAACGATGCATCAATAAACAATGCTCTAACCTAAAGGTTTTGTATGACCACCAATATCATTCATATTGTTTCTAATTTAGTCAATCACTTATTATTTGGTATGGGACTTTATTATGAAATGCATCGGTTTCCGATGTCAAACTCTATTCTCCAACACGCCTCTTCACGAGTGACTTTCACATAAAAAATTGATCTATTCTTTTTTCTTTCTTTTTTTTTCCAAAGAAAAAAAAACTAGTCTATTCATTGTATTGATTCTAACAACAGTCTTATTTACAACCCAAAGTACTGGAGTCAACACACATCTTTTCGAAAGACTGGTCATTAAATCAATACCTTTAAGTTGGAGCTAGCGCAATTTTTTGAAAACCCCTAATAAATCTAGCCTAAAACGCGTTGGAAGAATATCATGCTCTAAGGCTATAATAAACTTTTTGGCTTAGCGTGAGTTACCACCAACGTTACTGAAATTGTCTTTACTTAATCACATATTATTATGTTTATCAAAAGCTTCGGTAATATTAGAAATGAAATCTTCCAAATATAAATTGTGTATTATTTTGTTATATTTCTGATATGAAACTTAATTCTCCAGCGAGAACATTTTTGCATATAGACTCTTAGGCCGTGTTTGGTACACCGGATGGGACATCAGATAGGATTAATAATACGGAGTACGATGTTTGGTGTTCGTTCGTATTAGATAGCCACTAGATTAAATAATCCGGGCCCACTTATTTTATACGGTAAGCACCAGTTTCCTTATCCCCTCTAAAACCACGGTACAATTTAGTCGGCTTCCTGAGAACGCACCCTCGCTCTCTCTTTCCTCCTGAAAACACACTCTCGCTCTGTCTTCCTTTCCAGACGGTACAAGAAAATCTCTCGCTCTCTCCTTCCTCTCCAGCCACACTGGTCCTCTCCAGATGCACCGTTCCCAAGTTTGTCTTCTCATTCTTTTTCTTCTTCCCAGGTTCTGCCCCTCCCTCTGTTCTTCCCGCTCCTTCTATTTTTCTTGCAATTTTCTTTCAATTGTTTGAATCTAGTTATTGTTTTCTCTGTAATTATGCAATTGATTATGTAATTTTGTGTTTTAATTAGAATTTTCGAATTTAGGGTTTGCTGTTGGGGTCGAATACCTGAGACTCGAATCTCTCAAAGGCCATTTCCTTTTTTCTTGAATTCCTGCGATTCTCTAATCCAAAACCTTCAAACCCTTTTCTGTAATTTCGATCCCAACCCACCAAGTGGAAGAGAAAGAGGATCGACTCTGCATGTTTGGGTGATGAGATTGGCATCCATTGGGAAGAAAACCCTGCAATGGAGCAACATTGAAAGAAGGGCAACTTGAATGAGAAGTATGATCAGTGTTTGAGACGTGAAACTCATCATCTTCACGAGCAAGAAAAAGAGTTTGTGAGAATTCAGGCAGATGTTTTTGATAGAGATTAATGCGTTCTACAACTTGAATGAGAAGCATGATCAGTGTTTGAGATGTGAAACTTCTCAAATTTTTTTTTTCCCCTTTCTTATCCAGTTAAGTACCAAACACAGTATAAATAATACGGTCATTAGTCCGATACTGCACCAAACGCCAGACTAATTTAGTCAATACTATCTGGTGACTATTTATCCTATCCGACAGAAATAGTCAGTACAGTTCGAACTGCCAAATGAGGCCTTAGTGCTTCTTGAATATTGAACAAGCGCTGCACAGCAGTACTGACTGTTGTTTCTTTGCCTAACCATTAATTAGAATTTGTGTAATTAACTAGTGACATAGAATCAAGGGTTTGTATGAATTCAAAGATGGATGATAATCACACCCAATAAATAAAAATAATTGTGTCCGCATATTAGATTATTTGTTTGGTTTTGTGATTGGCCTGTACAAATTTTTATATAGTATATAATTCTCATTTAATTCTTTACAAATCTTCCATTTTAAATTGCTCAATTTGATTTGTAGAACTCAAGTTTCTATTTTTAAGGCTTAATAGATGATTAGGGTAGGAAATTTTAGATGGAAAATTCAAAACCAGTCGATCCAGCCATATTAGACTCGTATCTAGAGCACCCAATAGTTTTTGAAGCTCAATTTCACTGTGGCGAAGCTCGATTCAAGTTTGATTTTTTCCACTGCACAAAATAACATATTCACACCCAGATTAAGCAATTGAACGTGGAGGCCATATTAGTATTTATATGTTGATTTGTAGTTAATTATGAGAAGAATTTGAAAGAAAATGGGATGATTTTCGATAAGACTTAATTAAAATTGACAATCAAGCAATCTGCAAAAAGTGTTTACACATCAACTCTAGCAGCTTCCCAGAATCCAAAATACTTGAATTTGATTGCGTATCGGGTTCTCGATTATTTATCAAGGAGATATTAATGACTTTAATGTGATAAGTGCTTCTTTCAGTTGCAATTAAGGGAAGTCATCTGACTAATAATCTATGAGCAAACGCGCAGGAGAATTACCAATTTACTAATTAGAAAGCTCATAACTGCAGACTCTTTTTTTGAGGAAAATAACTGCAGACTCTTATTGCCCCAATTAAATATGTAGTGTCGTTGTTTTTCAATAGTTAGGTGGGGGTTCTAGGGGAAAAAGGGACGGGAAGCCTCAAACCTATAGGTGAGGAAGGTCACAAGAGTGCTTGATTTCCAATACGACACTAGCCCTCCTCAAGTGTTGTTAGACAGATTGACTTTGTTTCATTTTATTTTTCTTGCTTTTTTTTTATTAATTTACATATGCTCGGTTGATATGAAATCTCGTTGAATAAATGGCAGATTGAACATGATAGCTAAAATTGTTCCTACAATGCTTAACCGTTAAAAATTATGACGATTGGAGTTCTCGGGTAAAGACCTACTTGTTAGCCGAAGATCTTTGGGACATTGTCAAAGGCACCCATGAACCTCTTGAAGAAGAAGAAGAAGAAGAAGAACGTAAGGCTTAGAAGAAGGAGGATGTCAAGGCCTTATATCCCATCCAGAGTTCTTGCGGGGATGAAACATATAAATTTATAAAGGACAAAGCCACATCCAGAGAAGCATGGGATACTTTGTTTAAAATTTCGAAGCCAAGGCAGAATCAACAATTACTCGAAGTACCGTACATACATCAAAAGTTGGAAAAAATAAAAACTGATAAACATACGGCAGTGGTTGTACCTTGCAGCTTGGTGATCTATTTTAAAATTTGATGAGAAATATTTAGTAATTATTATGAATTATAGTATTTTCATTTGATTTGTTACATAATTAAGATGCACTGAAATGTAATGTATCAGATGCACAACAATTATTTTTTCACTACTATTTTACACACATGCATTTGTACGAAGGAAAAGGAAAACACACATTAAGAATTGAATGGTTAACATCTCTCATCTAAACATAATGATTTTCATTGTCACATAAAGTCGGCCACTAAAGTTAGGAACTAAGTTAAAATACAATAAAAGGATGAATATTAACTTTCACATACATCCATCCAACCAAAAGAGAGTTGGCCAAGTAATATAGATGGTACACTTTTGGATGGACATGGTGTTGTTGATAATTGCAAGTGTACAATATCGTTCAAGTAATATAGTGATAAGCAGAGTGTCGTTCAAATAAGGATCAAATTAATTTACTGTTGAGATTGACTTCAAACTAAACTTAAATAAAAGAAGGATTACGTTGACAAATTCAAATATGCAAAGAAACGAAACGAAAGTAAAAATAACAATTGATCGAACACGAAGTAAAAGTGAATGAATTATAAAAGATTAATATATGGAAGCTCTAGGACATCAGGTCCCTCATTCTCAATCACATCAAATCCTGTTATTCATATTAACATCAAATTATTCCCATGTTGCTAGCAATTATCCCTTGATTCGTCAATATTTCATGTCAGAATATACTAACAATGTTTCTAACTATCTACCCATGCTATGTGTAGCCATAGATATAGATAATCGGAACCCTTTAAGCTAAATGGATAATTACACGATACTACACAAATCATAACCAATATGTCTACTCAATTATGTAATTCATGGTAATTG